ATAGTGAGTGTAGAGAACCGGAGACCCTTTTTACTGGAATTGACGCATACTATCTTAGTCCTCAGGGGTGACAACGCATTTGCATTTTGAATCTTAGTTGAGGATAAATGTGCATGTCTATGGGCCACAGCATCCACTTACCATCAGGTGGACTGTGTGCTCGTTTGTCATGCTATAAAAAAGGTAAACAATGTCAGGGGAGCGCCTAGTAATCGCGTCGGTCGAAGTCTAGCTGTGAACTGCTTACTGCACATGCATACATACGCACGCAGCACGCATGCATGCACTTTTCATTTATTCTTCTTTTTTGTCGAAATATAATCGGTTATATTTGTACAGAACTTATTTAAAGGTAGTTAAAGGTACTCAAACTTTCTGCGAATGAATTATAACCAATAAGGGATACAATTGTGAAATGAAACGCATGTGTGTAATTATGCAGTAGTTTTATTGTTACAGTGCGGCGAGCCCAGATGTTACAGATGCTAAGTACACGGCTCGCATTCTACGTACCGCCGACTGCACTTACGCGATGCAAACTGTCAGATTTCGCGCGCTATCACTACCGCCGAAAATTCAATTCAAATAATAAAGCAAAAGTATCATTGCAGATACAGAAAATATTTTTTTAATTTTGAAATAGTTTGAGTATGAAATAATTATTCATAAAAAAATTTAAGTGCAAAAATTAAAAAAATTCAAAAAGCGAAATATTAAATTCAATATGAATTCTAAATTGAAATTGAATAATTACAAACATTGGAACATAATACACATATTTTGTTGATTGCTTATTAACTACAGTGTTCCAAAATCATACCTATTAGAATTTTTAGACTCAACCAATGGCTCTGATATATATACAAGGTCAACAGATGGACAGACAGACAGCTTACACGTTTCGGTGCGGCCGAGCGATACATAACGCTACAAAGTTATTACAGTTTTGGCAGTTCGCAATAATGGTAAAATGCATCTAACCGTACACGACAGAAACACGTACATATCAAGTTATATTTACAAATCGCCTCCGTTTCTCCCCGTATCAGTTGTCTGAACAAACTAAATCACAATTCTACGAAGTCCTCCGTGTGACAAAATAATCTAAGTCCATTTATACATAGGAAACGTCGACAAAGGTCACTATCGCAAAGCAAACTTTCCAACTAATTAGTCTTATGAACGTCTTGTGTTGGGCGCTACACGAGAATCAATACAGCCATTTGATATTAAGATCTACAATTTTAGAGTAACTTAAAATGAAATATCAGTGCACGAAATACCTACTATATACATGAATAAGTTTAAAATAAAACATTGTCTTACATTTACATGAAGAAAATTGTTGTTTTCTCACATTTTGTGTTTTTTTTTTTGTTTGTTTTTATATATAAGAATTACAATTAAAAGAAACTAAATTGGAGTGGCTACACGACACAAACTAAGAACAGAGTCAACTTACTTATAATTATAAACTAAAAGTCTTATCACATTATTTGCTAATATTTACAAGAAAAATACGGGAATCTCTTCCTTCACGTGCCTCTTAGATAATCAAGTGTGCAGTTACTAATCTATAGGTGACTAACGTTAGTTATACAAAGTAAATAAAATACAGACAAACGTGACACCTTACAAACTAAAGATCACTTGTGTGTTAAAAATGAATAGTGTACTTAGAACTTAAAATATACGAGATCTCTGAAAGTCTGGAAACGCAATACGTACAATTACAAATAAAAGTAAACGTTGAAATCTGTGACGCTCAGTGAGACCGCAAACCTGTCCCAAAGAAAGTTCGCCTCGACGTCTGAGTGAACACTCATTCAATTCAGTCGCCTACATTTCAGAGCTCTATCCAGGACGTTAATAAATTTTAAATATCCAAACTATACATATTGTCACTCGAATGACATTAAGGTTACAGTTCTACATTGACCAATGTCAGACATAAGGTAGTATCTTAATAGCATAACATCTTAGTGATTCGTAAACGAACATTTAAAAATCATGACGAATTTAACTATATATATAACAATAATTATTCATCTATAATATGTACAGCGGATTGGTGTCTAGGATTCGGGTATTTGTGAAATCTGAATTTAATAATTACGCCTAACGGATCACAGCGACAGTTATCTGAGATAAGGCAAGGTGGGGTCTGTCGCGAGCTGTGACATCGATTACTAAACTTTACACTAGATGGCATTGTCCTTACAAATTATATGCGATTAAAATTAGAATATTTAGCAATTACAATGTTGAAGAAAAGAAACTAGCTTTTATACCTTACAAGTGAATTTTTTATATCAATTATTAGCTATATGGTGTGCCATCTAGTGACAGTTTAAAGTAATTCGTGAAAACAGTCGCGCCTCGTTTGTACCATCACAACGCCCTTGTTTGAAACCTTGCGTGACTGACAGAGAAAATATTATGATTTCTTATATTTACGCGAAACATTGCACATGATTAAAACTACTTTTACGGATTTTATCGCGTTTATTTTTACTTTTTATTTTTAATTCCCGACGTTTCGGGCGCTTTCCAGCACCCATGGTCACGGGGGACTGAGATGACTGACGTCCCGATGTCATTGTTAAACCCGGAGTACCTTCAGCTTTTTTAATTATTGTTTATGGTCCGATCTATGCAAAATGAACTGACTATGGCCTGAGGTCTTGCAGTGGTATGCTTGGGTTTAGTTTTAATTTTATTGATTATAGGATCCCAAGCAGGTGGTAGTACCCAGCCTCCTTCTCTATTGTACTACCACCTGCTTGGGATCCTATAATCAATAAAATTAAAACTAAACCCAAGCATACCACTGCAAGACCTCAGGCCATAGTCAGTTCATTTTGCATAGATCTGACCATAAACAATAATTAAAAAAGCTGAAGGTACTCCGGGTTTAACAATGACATCGAGACGTCAGTCATCTCAGTCCCCCGTGACCATGGGTGCTGGAAAGCGCCCGAAACGTCGGGAATTAAAAAATAAAAAGTAAAAATAAACGCGATAAAATCCGTAAAAGTAGTTTTAATCAAGAGAAAATATTGTTACAAATTCAAATTTTTCACCAACATGTACTGCGTGTTGCAAATATTTGGTACATTAGTCGTGTGATACTTCAGTATCGCAAAGGATCAAACAAAGAAGTCAACCTAAACATGCTGATTGCTGCTACTGCTTACATTCCAAACCATACTAGAGCTTATATTTAACACTACACCTTTATATATTTACAATTTTTATTTTATATCTTTTATATAGTTTTGAACTAGTTATAAGGCTACGACGTCTCGACACTGACGGAAAGTCTAGTCCATGCGTTAGCAGCGTGATACAGATTCCCGAATCTACGTATAATTAATGTAAACATCAATTTTCAACTAATTTACATTAAGAAATATTAACTCCAATGAACAAAACTATTTTATAGTCACGCACACTAAACACGTCATACTTATGTCAAACCACTAATACACTATAAATGCTTGAAATACATACGTATCCATTACATTTACAAACACATCGCTATACAACGTCACACACTACGGCAATGGCAGTATGTGAATAGTATTTATGTTATATCTCGTTATTAGTATATGATTGTCGTGTAACGAGTAAGTTAGTTAATAATACTTCTAGTACTATCTAAAACCTAACTACGTAAAAATGTTCAGTCGATGTTACATACAATGGTGTTTAGGAGCTATATGCTTGAATACAAGAATTTTAAGGCCGCGTACACATGTCGGGTTATTTGTTTATCGCCGAATGTCAATGAAGTTAAGATTTTTAAGTACGAAACCGTCGTCAGCACGCGGCTTTAAATAGTGAGTACACATAGACCACATTAAAATAAAGAATTCAATATATCAATTGAGTTAAAATTAAAATACGTTAAGATTAAACATTTATAATTAATATATTGCAACGTTTATTGCTTGCAATCACACGAAACACAAACGAGGCTCACATTGACACTTCTTAATACATGTGTATATATTTAAAATGGAATCGCGTATGTAAATGAAAGAAGACTATCCTACTTGAGGCATTTCCCTCCCCATAAATCTAAACATGTCAAGTGCAAATTGCCTGCAACATGCCACAAATCTCTCATTTGAATTTAGTTCAGTAGCGCTTGTGAGCTTGTCATTCGTCCCAATATTTCGTTGTATAAAGCAATTTATTGCGCGCGATTAATTCTACAATTTGCGATCTCGACTCGATCATTTACAAACTTGTGTTCGGTTGCCGATTCTTTATTCTATATTCACAGTCAACCCAACTACATCTAATTTACTTAGCGTAACGCTATACTAACACATAAGAAAGAAATAGGACAAAATATATTTGGTAGTGAAGTCACACGAAGCGATATATTTCTGCCTCCATCATCGTATCCTAAGACAACATTTATAACTAGTCGCCAAGTTTAAGAAAATTCTATAATCACGTGTAATGTAAATTGGTGTTCGTTAGATTGGAAGTCACATTTATGAGGTATGGTGCGGCTTTATTGTATGGAAGTAGACGAGTCTAACTAAGAATATAAATAAAACAGTAAAATAAAAATATACGAATTTAGTACAGTTACCTAATACACGACGTAGAACTGTTTGTAGCCATTTCGATAACTGAATACTTAACTAGGCTCGTCTTAACAATAAAATGAACAAAATAATGAATTATAATCCGTTACGGTTAGTGATGATTGGAAATAGCGGTATAATAACACTTAAATCGCGTTAAACTGAATAAATTTGAACCGAAAACAAAAAGTCAATATTCACTTTACACAAACTAAATAGACGATAAAAAGTTTTAGATTAGATCAATAAAATATTTGTAATTATAATGTGACAAAGCAAATAGTCCAATCATCACAAAGCATGCAAAAACGGGACTAGTGACGCGATTAATAAGGTAGGTTATCGTGTGTCGGTGTATTCGGCGCGTCGCTTGTCCAAGCCGCGCTTGGATTCGCGTCATTCCCACTGGTGCGGGGACGGCGGCAGTTCGGACGGGTGCGCCACCGTCGAGCTGCAATGTGTGCAAGTGTCAACCCGGGTTAGTCGAGATCGTCAATTTCCTGAGTACCCCCACACCCACGCCAATTTCACTGGATTTCGGACAGCCGAATGACGCGTTGCAAATAAAAATATACTCCAATCCTGTCTAAAAATGTCCAATTATGAACGTATCAGCATCCAAAATCCAGCGAAAGAACCGAAGAGACCATGCATATTGCAATCGATCGAAATCGGAATATTTTCAAAGTGGCAATATTAACTACGATAATAAAAGAGAATTCGTACGGCAAAACTGCATCAAAAATAAAAACAATACTAACCAAAAACTACGTAAAAATGGCTATAGAACAAAATCACCACAACCAAAATACACGGCACTGTGCTCGCTGCTGAGTCTACGCATGCACTACGCAATAACCACGAAACAGACTGTTGTTATATGTTTTCTAAATATGAACCCTATGATTTGTAACACAAGATTCAAATTTGGATATCTGTCTACATGGTCTACAATAACATTACGGCCCACAATACGCGATACAAAAAAAAACATTGAAATACCGACTTCACCACAACATCAAACAAAATTCAACACAAACTTTTCTTTTAACTTTTAATAAAATAAATTATAACTTCATATTGTCATTGCCTAATCGAGTTATTCCGTTTATCCACCCTAAGAAATCTACCTTAGGGTGGATACTCGGAATCGCGTGTTCGTTTATCCACCCTAGACGGGTGGATAATCGTAATTCGTATATTATTTTTCTTCCGATTTCCCCCCTAGGCTGTGTACAGTCGTTTATAAAAACATGATAGAAATTGGCCCAAAGTTACTTAGTAGACATTGGCATACTTATAAAAATACATATGTACGTACTTCTTGTTTAAAGGTTGAAACTGATATACTTTTAATTGTTCAATACGTACGTACGTACGGTACTTACCAAATTTTAAATTGTCTTTTATTGAGAGACGAATTTATCCAGGATATACAATTACGTCTATTCAATAATGAAATTAGTGTTGGTCATTTCCTCGGCATATTGCATAATTTATAAATTACTTATTTTTACTTAAATCACAGAAGTTTTATCTGGTTTAAATGCAATACGTAATATGATTTTTGTTTAAGTTTGTGGTAATTAAAAACTAATCAATAATATGTTAAAGTATGAATATATTTTCTGTTGAACTGTACTTGAGGTAGAAAGGCGGAACAACAATCAAAAAGTGAATTCCGATTATCCACCTCGTTTAGGGTGGATAAACGATCACGCGTTTCCGCGTATCCACCTCAGGGTGGATTTCTTAGGGTGGATAAACAGATTAGCCTAGTTATTGCTATAAATGAAGAGCGTTAGATAGATTTGCACCATTAGGTATAACTGAACAGAAATAGCACAGTTTTGTTGCCATGAATTCAAAAATATCTTAATGTTAACGTAATGTGACTAAATAAATTTATTTTTTCATGTAAAAGTGTGTTACTTTCTGTGAAATCCTGAAAATTAAACATCCCGTACATGCAAATCTTTGACTTTTTGAATTTGAACGTCATGCGATTTATTATAATGGGCAATTTTTACTAAATCCCTGTCGCTAACTCAAACATTTAATCCGATAATGTAATAGTGGTGTTCATTACGGCATGCAATGCAACTGAACTGGAGTGAGACAGAACGAACTAACGATCAACCCTTTTGAAATTACGAACTAATGCCGTTCGCGAAGGCAGCTCTAACTGAACGTCAGTTAATTAACTATGTTTAACTTATTAACCGAGCTTGAAAGCAGTCGGAACGACTACTAATGAATAATATTTTGTTGTAATCTAAATTTCATGCATCAATGATATTTTTAAAACGGAAAATTTGTGAAAAGTCCAAGTATTAAGGCAGATAGAGCTGCCTTGTCGAACGACGTCCGCGAATACAAATGTAAATGGACATCACAGGCTATAGCGTGCGGGCGCTTACTGGGGCTTGTTCGGCGCACTAGGCAGCGCACAGAAATATCACGGGCGACAGTAGAAGTATTTTTGCAGCTGTCTTGAAAGGGGAACACACTTTTGCTTTCGAGCTCGCTCTAGAACTGCCGCAAACACAGAAAAAAGCAAAATGTTATTACTGACTACCCTCGAATAACTGTTGGGCATTGGCAAAAGCGTGAAAGGTGCCACCATTTCAATAGGGTTGATTTTGCTGGAATGCAACGGTTCTGTGCGGAGCGAAACGGAAAAATTTATCGAAGTGAAACGCATGATAGGAAAGTAAACAAAATCGCAAAATCCATGCACAAATCGGGCTCTCGCAAAATCGACCCGTAGACGCGTAAGGTTATTGTGTCGCTAATATAAAAGGCGCAATAGTGACTACAAAACACAACTACATAAGGCGGTCTGGAAGGAAGCGTCGGAAGGTAGGTGAGGATTTCGACATAGGCTAACTTCTGCGACCACCATATCAATGTTCATGGTTGTGTCCAGGCGGTCTGGACACTAATGCACAGTACGTTACGTACAAAGGTCGTGACACCGACGTGCACACAGATCAGTTCGCACCGTGCCACACCTAGTTGTGATGACCGTTTGCTTCGTCTGATTTATTATCGTTAAAGCACGTGGAGACAACACAGCTTAATTTCAATTCAATGCAGAAGACATTTTTACGAAACATATAAATTACTCAATAAAATAGAACAAAAAAAACAGATTATTAATTAAATTCAAGTTAAAGCCGTACTATCAATAACTTGACAGTTGACGTATGTAAAATGGCAGTGTTGTTTGCACGCTGTTAAGGAACAGAGCGGCGTGGCCCAAAACATGGGTGCGGGTGGTCGCTATAGCTGAGCGTGTTAGGTTATGTATCGCAAAGAAATCACCTAGTGTCGGTTGGTTGTTGGTTGCGGTTGGTTGTTGGTGGCGGCGCCTTACCTTGCGAAGCTCTTGAACGCCGCGGATTGCGGATTGATGCAGAGTGGAACCCGCGACGTCTGAAGTTGCTCGGCTATGAACTTGTGAATCTCCTCTGTGGAACGATTGAGCGTTTCATTATAATTATTATATTACACATACGCGCGCGCGCATGCGCGCCCACACACACATACACGCACACACACACACACACACACACACACACACACACACACACACACACACGCACACACCGCACACGCGCACACGCACACACGCGCGGCCACACACACACACACACACACACACACACACACACACACACACACACACACACACACACACACACACTCACAACAATTCAAATTTAATGTATACAAGGCTCCGCAAAATAGGAAAGAGGCGGTGGGTGTTTATTTTAATTCTAATAATTCGCCCTCATATAATAAAACAGGTGCTACGATTTTTCTCTACACTAGCTGTTTCATGTGACTGCGCCCGCGTGTTATTACGATTAGATTTCACGTGTTTTAATTTTTGCGGGAAATCCTTGTTCTTTTTTGAAAACAAACGTAGCTTTAATTACTCCTTAAACATCAGCTATCTGTTAATGAAAGTCCCGTCAAAATAGGGTATTACACCCATTTTCAAAAATTGTTTTAATTGAATCCCAGAGTGAACCACTATAATTTGTATATAATTTTTTAAAACCGAATAGTGCCATAAAAATTACTTTTAAAAATTAGTTTTAAATTTCCACGTGAAAACATTAGCCGCCATGATGTACAACTGGTGACGTCACTGTCCTCGATTTTGCCGATTTTGCAAAGGAATAAGATACTTTTTAATGTTTAATTATGAGTTATCATCTAAATCATTGTCTTATTGCGCTTGAATGCAAAAATACGAGCACAAGAACGCCGGGAAAGTTATGGATTCAAGTGCCAAGTATTTAAATATAATAAATACTTGGTTAAAACCGGCAGGAAGATACCCGAATACATTGTCTACAAAAACCAGACTATTCTTCTGTGCAGATCATTTTGATGTGAGTATGACTTATATTTAACTATCGTTTAATAAAACAAAACATCATGAGGTGAAGGGTATCGTAAGTCAAATTTTGTAATAAATTACGTTAACTTAGATATTATAAATAATGATTGCTAATGATTGTAATTTTAGATAGAGTAAACTATGATAGCTACTAAACTGATGTTTGATCAAAATACACTCTGACCTGGTATTGTTTTTTTTTTATAAACAAAAGTTGGTAATAGGTACTTAAATTGATGTTTTAACATTCCTCAACTCAGCAGAATAAAAACTGGGATACATGCAAAAAAATTTCCACCATCAATTTATTTATCCTTGGTAGATTAGTACTTTCTGCTTTAACGAATTCGTCTTCCATGATGCCTTTTCAATAAAATTCGGAATAAAACTCAATAATCGTAACAACTTGAAAATTTTTGAAATAACACAGCACGTTAGCTAGTTCTCTTAATCAGTAACACAGAACAGAGGTTGGATCAGTGACGTCACGACATGATCTAATATGGCGGTTAGCGTTTTGCAGATTAAAGACACAGACGAAAAAAATATTCTTAAAATTGAAATATATGACAATAAAAATTTCATAATGAATTTTATAACAGAAATCAATATTTCTCGTTTACTTTTTACAAAATCTATCATAAATATATATTTTTTGATTTTATTTTACATGGTATAAAATACCCTATTGGTTCAGCTATTTCGATACCTAATTAGCCGGAACAAACAGACATAAAATACAAATAGACAGACACAATTTTTTTGTTATGAGTTCCGTATCAATGCATTTTGTAAAAAGCTGTTATTTTAACACTACAAAAAGAATATAATATCTGCAGTAAGTAATGAATTGAATTTAAAAATCATAATAGCGACGTTATGAAGCAACCAGAATACTCATTATGGACTTTCCTTAAAGGTATATAGAAACACGATCCTAATTCATTTGTATGCCTTCGATTACTTGCTGGCGGCATCCTTCAACTAGTGGGTGACAAGCTTAAACTTTCCTTACCCATACAAGAGTCACGAGTGATGGTATTGCGAGATATAAGACTGGGCATGCATTTCGAAATTACGTTACGTTGAAGTTACACTAATCCACATTAAAATTCAAAAATTCTTCATTAAATAATTCACGCGTGTATAAATGTGTATAAGCAGAGACCGAGAATCTATTTTCCCATTTTGTGTAGTCGATGATGTGAACACTATGGGCAGCGCCAGAGAGATATTATTGATTTTTATAGATAAATAAACAACTAGTATGTTATATTATACTTGATATTGTATTACAAGACCGGCTAAGCGGAGCAGTGTTAAAGACACAAGGTCAAAAATTGCTGCGAGTGCCAAGCGTGGCGATTAAGGTAAAACGTACAATGAAAATAGTCTAGTCAGTGGACGGTTTCAAGATAAAAAAGAAGTAGTGTACAGATTTATTTAGATTATTTTATTATTTTTATCGACGGCTTCCGTTGCTTAGCCATCACTGTATCATAAGGATTAGACTCTCGCACGGCATAAGTATTTGTATGGCCTACAAATATTTGTAGTGGTCTGGTTGTTGGTCCTTGCAAAGTTCGTGTATGTAAACTGAACCCATAATGCAGGAAAAAAATTTGTGTGAAGGTATCGTTATATATATTTTTTTTATATAGAATAAGGGTGACAAACGAGCACACAGTCCACCTGGTGGTAAGTGGATGCTGTGGCCTATAAAGATCTACATTTATCATAGATTAAGAATTAAAACCCTTCTTAGTCTTTTCTATTAGCATCACAGCAGCATTTAGCTGCTATTTTACGATATTCTGTGAAAGAGTAGTCTTCATCGAGCCCACACATAGCTGCAGGATTGCTCTACTACGTTAAAAAATTTTATGGCCTACAAATAATTATTCTAGGTCCGGATGTTTGTCGTTGTGAAAATGTGTGTAAACTATTCCCACGATACAGGAGAAAATCGTAGTGCGAAGGTGATATTTTTTTAAAGAAATTTTTTTATACTATGGTAGAGCAGACTTACGGCCTGGCCACGGGTATCGGCGGCGCGAACTGCGAAGCGACAGGCGGGGCGAAAATTCGCGCGGCGCGATTTGAGGGCTACGGGAAGTTACGTTTGCCGCCGCGACCAGATAGGCCGAGAGTGAAATGTCTTTATCAAAGTTATCTCGATATTGCTTAGAAAGTAATTGTTTTTTGTTTCAAGACATAATATTTGGATGAGATTATGGAGTACTTGATTTGAATAGGAATCGGGTAATAGATGGGGAATTCCACAACAAATAGAATGCATCTAGAAAAAAATTTCGAGTAAATACCAGAATGAGTGTTGAAACCTGCGATTATATTCTTGTTAATATTCAACCATAATTGGAGATAAAAGTCAATGCGGATAGAATTTTAAGTTGTTTTTGTCAGCCCGGCATTTTTCGCGGCGAAAACAATTAAAATATTTTGTTCCCTATACTATTCGTCGCGTCTGTCGCCGCGATTGCCGCCCGACTCCGTGGCTTGCAACGTACTGATTCATATTTCATACATTTCATTTTTTGTTTCAGTCGCCCGCCGTGCCGCCAGTCGCCCGCGCGATTCGCCGGGTAAATTTCACCGGTCGCGTCGCCACTCGCCGCTACGCGTGGCCTGCTCCATACATTTCTATATATTTGTTTTAGTCGCTAGACGCCTCGCCGTTCGCGCCGCGTGATATTTGGCTACGGCGAACCTCCCGTGGCCAGGCTGTTAATCGTGCTATAACCATAATATGGCTGCAGCATGGCTCTACCACTTTTAATTTCATTCAACTTAATACAGAAGTATTGCGGGAATTTTTTTCTGGTAAATAACTCTCTTAAAAACGGAGATCTCATATAAGAATTGAGATGAGACTTATGTTACTCATAGACTTAAAGTGTTACTTCACTATTTGGTATACTTAAAATGATCGGGTTTTAAAAGTTAGCACGTATAAAAAATGTGCGCTTACCTTTGACCTGGTGGACGGTGGTGAGCTTGCGCTCCCAGGCGTCGTGGAAGGGATGCGGCGCCACGGGCTCCAGGTCGGGAGAGTAGTGGCGCGCGGCGGGCGGCGCGCTGTAGCAGCACTTGCACATGCACGAGTGGTAGCGCAGCCGCCCCTCCTCCAGGTACGGGTGCGCCAGCGCGTCCACCACCGAGATGCGCTTCGTGGGGTCGAACACCAGCATCTGCGGACACCGTACACCATACACCGTATCACGTGCTCTTAATTCGACAATATTCACTCTTATCCAGTTCGAAGGACCATACCGCTATCAGTCACGAGTAAAACTACTACGTGGAGACATCGACTATTGAGGGTAAATTATGATAAATGTAATCGCTAATAAAGAGCCAGTCTTCCTCTAGTAGTGTGGTCAAAATATCTCCGCGCTCTCACTAACAGACTGTTCTTAATTTCGGGAATAAAACTTTTTATAATACGGTGATTTCATAAGAATAACTTATCATTATCTTGTTTCGCAACGTAAGCATAAAAAATGCTAATAGAAAATCATCTTCTTATATGTGCCTAAACTATGCACTGCGGATACAAATAATAAAAATACTCAATAGCGTGTAAAACAGTAATGTGGTGGGGAGCAAGATGCAATATCTATGCGAGCACCAAAATCTGTAGCCAGGGCAATGTGATGTACCCTTGCGAGCAGATGCAATGCTACGAGGGGCAGCGTGCATTACATGTACAAATAGGTGTAGTGTAGTAAGGCAAGGACAACGTACATTACTTTTGCGAGCACGTGTGGAGAAGTGTAGTGAATAATTATAATGACCTCCAGACCGGATTTCGTTTAGGGCGGTCAGTCTTCATGAAAACTAACCATCTGCGAGGATTATAGTGCCCGAGTATATGCACAAACATAAATGGACCCTCATTTCCCTACTCTCATAATCCGATACGACGATACGACGGCAACTCAACACAAACAATTCAGACGCAGGACCAATGGCTACGTGGTTTCTGGGACACGGGGGTGGAACACCGCGAAATTCCTGACTGGAGTCAGGATAGCAGCCTGGGCTGCTACTGAGAAAAAACTCATCACTGTTTTTGATCAGACCCGAGATTTGAAGGCAGGATCTCATGATCAGCAGTCGCGATTATGACCACTCAGGCAGTCAAGTGTAATGTAGCAGTGTGAAGTACATAAACAGTACACGTGCGTGTAGGTGCGCGTAGTGTTGTGGCATAGTTTATATAAGCGAGAGTAGCCTAATGGCAGGGCGTGAACTGCGATTCAAAAAGTCGTGGGTTCGAATCCACAAAAAAAAAAAAGGGCAGGGCAGGCTTGCAGTACATGTACGATTACGTGTCGTGCAAAGAGACGGGATAATGTGCTGTTCTTTTGCAAAATTAGTGTAGTGTAATGTGGCAATATAAAATAGTATAATGTAAATTAATATAGTATTGTAATGTAAATTAATATTATATATGGCAGTAGCAGGGTGTATCCTTACATCTGCGAGTACGCGCGTGTGGTGTTATATCAAGGACTACTGCGTATTACATATGCGAGCCGGTATAGTGGTACTACGTAAAGGGATAGTGTGTTGTACTTGTGCAAGCAGCCTGTGCAAGTGTAGCGGGGGTAGTGTGCAATAAATGTGCCAATAGGTGAAGTGCATGTGAGGCGGGTGTAATATGCTGTTCTTCTGTCCGTGTGGAGCAGTGTAGCGTAATGTATTGGTAGCAGGGTGTAGTATCTATGCGGTACATCTGAGTAGGTGCGTGTAATGATTCAGCGGAGGTTACTGCGAATTACTCGTGCAAGTAGGTATAGTTTACTACGTGAAGAGGCAGGGTGATGTACATGTGGGGATAGTTGTAGTAGTGAGGAGGGTGCAATGTGCAATACCGAGCACGTGTGGAGTAGTGTGTATGGTGTGTCTGTACAATACATCTGCGAGTAGGCGCGTTTAGTGTTGTAGCGGGAATTACTGCAGTGTGTATATTACGTGAAGCAGCAACGTGCTGTACCTGTGCGAGTAGGTGCACGGCCTCGTGCGTGGCCTGCACGGAGAGCGTATAGAGTGCGGCGAGCGCGGGCGGGCGCGGCGCGCGACGCAACATGTGGGCTCGTGCACCTGCACACGCATGTCGCATGTCTTCGAGTGACGGCGTTCCCAACAGCTCCGTTATTAGTTCCAGCTGGAAAGTAACATGTGTTGTAAAGCATTAAACTTTAATTATAACCACACGGTTTAAGTAGAATTTGTTGCAAATATTGATACATGATCATAATGCATTTTGAGCCATGCTGCAACTGTATTTCGGCTGTAGTACAATGGCTCGCAACATATACATAGCTTGGACTAGATAATGGCAATGTTAATAACTTACTAGTCATCATCATCATCATCATAATTACAATTCTTCTTAAGTCCTTTGAAGGACGTACAGGCTTCTTTCTATAGATTGATACAAAGTCCGATCCTGAATCACCTGCATACATCCACCATCCACGCATGTTTCATCTGGTCGTCACTTAATCTAGTTGGGGCAGCACAGCACAGCACTGGTAAGTACGAGGTTGTGAGTTGAGATTATTTTCTTATAATATAATCTTATAACAGCTGTCAGTTTTTAGAACCATTTCGCCGGCTCAGTGCCACTTCAACATAATGATCAGCTGGACTATGTCAATGACTCTTACTCGTAAGGTTTTCGACACAAATGACGACGATTATTTTCAAGAAGTATCAAATACTTTATGTGAGACAACGGTATTCCCAGGTCAAAAATTACAACTTCCGAAGAGAAACGCCGGTAATAACACCGGTTTTACGTGGTAGAACCATGCTGCAGTTATATTAATAGTATAGTTGTAGCACGAATGGGTCGGCTCAACACGCTCTCACAGATTACAAGCGTAAAATTGTAGCTTAATGCTGCTGTGTTTCGTATGGTGAGTGTAGAGAACCGGAGACCCTCTTTACTGGAAACGAAGCATTCCATCTTAGTCCTCACGGGTACATATAACGTATCTGCATTTTGTTCGTAATCGAGGATAGATGTAGATGTCTACGGGCCGCAGCAACCACTTACCATCAGGTGGATTGTGTGCTCGTTTGTCACCCTATCCTATAAATATAATAGTTGGCTGCGACAATTATATAAAATTGCTTTGTAGTGGCGGCATAAGAGAATTCATAATTTCGTCCCGTAGGCAACGAAAAGAGGACTATGGGAAATGTCAAAAAAATCTATACTTTTGAATATACGGCGGTGTAGCCAAGTCGTTTGCGCCAGACGTAAAAGACCCATTTCGGCGACGGGCGGCATCGTCAAAGATGTGGGATGTCTGCCACTGCGTTCTTCAAGCCGCCTGCCAATTTTGACAGTTAAGGAATATCCTCCATACAACGAAAGTGGCCTATGTGCAGCAATGGACTTTTATCAGTTAGTGATGTAGAAAACGAATCTAGTAGTATCCCTAATACTCTCATACCTAACTACTAGGCTGCACTAAAAGTATCGGGAATGGAATATTTCCACTGTTCCTGTCATATTAAAATCTTTTTAATTGAAAACTCCTTGGTTTTAAAAATCGAATACCATTATTTATTTAAAAAAAAATTCTCGGTCTTGTCACAAGGTTTTGTCAAACTTGTTTAGTCGTTGAGAAAATGGAATTGACTCGAGAAAATTCAAGAGCGATGATATATTATGACTTTCGAAGTGGTTTAACACAAAAACAGTGTGTTGACCGGATGATTTCTGCATTTGGTGATGAAGCCCCATCCAAAACCACAATTTATCGCTGGTTTGCTGAATTTCAACGTGGACGTATCAAGCTCAGTGATGATCCCCGTCAAGGTCGTCCAAAAACTGCAGTCACCCAATAAAACGTTGATGCTGTGCGTAAGCTGATTGAGAAAGATCGACATGTGACCGCGAAATTCAGGCAACTTTAGACATTGGCATGAGTCAAATACAAATAATCTTACATGAACAATTAGCTGTAAAAAAGTTGTTTTCCCGATGGATACCGCATTCGCTCTGTGAAGAGCAAAAAGCGGCTCGCGTTACTTGGTGCGTCAGAACTCTCGAAAGATTCCATGCAGGATCCTCAAATGCTGTATACAACATCGTATCAGGTGACAAATCCTGGATTTACGCGTACGAACCCGAAACAAAATACCAGTCACAAGTTTGTGTGTTCGAAAATGAGTTAAAGCCAACAAAAATTGTTCGTTCACGGAGTGTTGCAAAAAAAAATGGTGGCCACGTTTGTCTCCAAAACCGGCCATGTTACGACTATTCCTCTTGAGGGACAAAGAATGGTTAATCCAGAATGGTATGCTAACATTTGTTTGCCACAGGTAGTTTCTGAACTCCGTAAAGAGAACTGCAACCGCCGCATCATCCTCTATCACGACAATGCGAGTTCTCACACCGCACACAGAACAAAAGAGTTTTTAGAGCAAGAAAACATAGAATTATTAGGCCATCCGCCGTACAGCACCGACCTAAGCTCTAATGATTTCTGTACTTTCCCTAAAATAAAGAATAAATTGCGTGGACAGAGATTTTCATCACCTGAAGAAGCTGTGGACACCTACAAAACGGCCATTTTGGAGACCCCAACTTCCGAATGGAATGGTTGCTTCAATGATTGGTTCCATCGAATGGAAAAATGTGTCAAATTTCGCGGAGAATACTTCGAAAAGCAATAAATACATTTTTAAATAGTAATTTTGTGTCACTTCCGTGATTCCCGAATCAGTGCCGCCCTCGTACTACAACTGTATAATATATTACAAGTGTAGGTAGAACAATGCAATAAATTAATATTTAAGGTAGCAAAAATTAACAGTTATTACATCGGAAACAATGGTCTACTACTAATCTTGGAAGGGCAGAATATGCGCTTGCAAATAATTAAATTTAAATTATTAAAAAGCTACCCCATTGCTTTCCCCTTTCTATGTCTGACATAATTTATGCAAAGAAACCGGAAGGGGGAGGGAGTTTACGTGAAGAACATAGGAGAATATTCTCTTCTAACACTCACTTTACGTCCAATTATTTGTTTAGTTTTTACTTATTGTAAGTAATTGATGAGGAAACCCTTGATGATGACTCATGAAAAATATTAAATGTGTATGTAACACAAATAAATTACTAAACAGTGTGAAACAAAAAAGCCCAAAAGCTATTATTTATAAAAGCAAAAATTACTTACAAAAATTGAGCAAGGTATATATAAAATACAAACATATCTTTCAATTTCTAAAAAAATCAACATTTTGATTATTAATCGAGGATAGATGAAGCTAAGGGTATACACTTACCACCCGGTGGACTTTGCGGAAAAAACTTGTGTTAAATTAAAAATATTTGGAAAATCTAAAAGTGCGCGCCGCACACGCTTTTTTACATCATAAATAAAATCAAAAGAGGTGAAACAGTGACAATAATTTTTATAAGAAAAAAAAAACAAAGAATCTGATCGACTTTCATTAATAACTTTTAAACGGTATTAAGTTCAATAACAAAATTCTATACGAATACTCCTTAGAATATATGGAATCTTATTTAATACTTTATATATCTCAATCTATTGTATTTTATATGTATATTTCTATTAAGCGAGAAGATTCATCGACACACACACCCAGTTCATATATTTTTTAATAACAATTTTTGTTATGTAATCTAAAGTGAATCAATTAGAAAATAAACTAATCTGATAATTCAATGTCTGTAGTTATTGTAACGTTAATGATACGGATTGATGTCTAGCTAAAAGTATAAGAACGATTTTACGTAGCGAAATTGAGGTGTGGCCACGTATAGTAGTCACACCTCAATTTCGCTACGTAAAATCGTAGTAGTAGAGCACGTTGTGAGGAGTGTAAGAAATTAATTTACCTGCTGCACAGGGCTCTGTGCTTGAAATAGGATGCGCCTGCCGAGAAGTTCCCCGAATATGCAACCGACGGACCACACATCGACAGCGGCTGTGTAGTGATTGGCTCCCATCAATATCTCCGGTGCTCTGAAAATATTAATGATTTTAATAAAAATATGTTAGAAATACAAATAGCAGTTTTAAGCCACTCGATACTGTCTCTGAAACTCGTGTGGTGGTGACGTTAGAGGATCCATCACCCCATTTCGTCCCGGTACGTAGTAAGAGGCGACTATCGGATAGTAATAATAATAATGTTTATTTTCTTAACAAGATACAAGGGTTTAGATTTTAGTGGTTGGAATCTCCTAGGCAAATAATGCTTGGGATATGCATAAAAGGTCTTATAGGTTCCAATTAATGTGATACTCGTTTACAACAAACGTAAAACACCCTGGAGACGAAACGAAGCAGGGTTAAAAATGCAAAATCTCTTGTATCTACTGGGATCGTCAAGCTAAGGGTGACGATTAAGGCAAATCTACTTTACAATGGGTAAGGCAGAAAAGGCATTAAACTATTAAAAGCTGATGAAGTAAATTCTAAATAATTAGTCTTTAAACTCGATCGACAGGCGAGCCATTAGCTTGCGGATTTACTCGCAGCTCGTCATTTCTGATGCTCTTGCGAGCCAAACAGTTATTCTTTATTTTTTTGAAGTAACGTCCCAAATTTAATACAACGCTGGCGAGTTGCAAGCCTGGTTTGTCAGCTCACAAACACCGCGGATTTGCGATGATTCGCCCACTAAGTTTACGAGCGTGCCACCAATACCGCGGGTAAAGCGAGTTCGTCGAACAAGACCTTTAAACGTCCTCCCTACGTAATTATTTCCAAAATATCGTTTTATTATAAAATAATGGTGACAAGCGAGCACCTTATGTTATGTCCATAGATATCTACATCTATCCTCAATCGATAAGTATCAAAATGCAGATGCGTTGTCACCCCTAAAACTAAGATGGAAAGCTTCGTATCCACTAAAAGGGGTCTTCGGTTTTCAACACTCAGCATACGAAACACACCAGTATTACGCTGCAGTTTTACGCTGGTATTCTGTGAGAGCGTGGTTCATACCCGGTCGAGCCGATCCATTCGTGCTACAAACATAATATACCTGTAATACGACTCCGAAATAATGTGTTATTTCAGCAGATAAAAGGAGACCTTTTAAGGTATTGATTTCGTACTGTCACTAGGAGATTAAATGTAATCGTTCACGGAATTCCAGTGTTGAATTTCCTAAGTCAAAATCAATATGTAACAAAGCTGTATCCAGTGCTTGTCTACACTTTTCGTCCCTTTATAATGACTTTACCATCTTTACATATGGGAAGATAAATGATAAAAGCACTTACGAGAAAAGAAATACCTAAAGAACTTCATAATAAATTATTGAATATTGTATAAATACGTCAAAGTGTTTTAAACGTCTAGGGACGGAGACATTTTCTGTTATTCTAGAAATTTAATGAAACAGATAAAAGAGCTACTTTAGAACTGTCCCCTGTTTATCAAAATTTACAAGCCTTGTATTACAAGCAATATTCTTGTAAAAAATTTAATTATTACAAATATGTGTTTATCAAAACTACACGTGTAAATTACAAGTTACAAGGGCCATTATTTATTTCACAAGTATATTTTTACACTTGTATTCGTGATTTTGTTCGTCAAAAACCCCTTGTAAGTTACAATTTGTAGGAAAATATTGGAATAATGGAACCGAGAACATATAGAACAAGAATTGACTACGGTTATATGGAGACAACCTATGAATTTAATGAAAGGTTTCGACTTAAAGCTAAAAAATTGGAACAATTAACTAACATTTTGGGTAGCCATTTAGAAAGAAATACAAACAGAAACCACGCCCTGTCAACTAAATTAATATTACAAATGGCTCTACATTAGTTAGGGACCGGAGCTCAATACCATGGCTGTTTCTGACATACATAGTGTAACAAAAGACGGTGCATGCTATGTTGTAGCAGCCATCAATACCGTAATTTGAAAACTACGTTAAATGGCCGAATAATGCAGGAGGTAGTACAGAAGTTTCATATGTCGAAAGGAATTACATTAATTTGTTTCTGTCTAGATGGTACATTGATAAATTAATGCCCACATTAACATGGAGAAGTATTCGTAGATCGACATCGAAATCATTCCATTAACTGTTTGGTTGTGTGCGGTCCTGACAAAAAGTTTTACTATTCCTATGCTAATTGGCCCGGAAGCACCCATGACAATAGAGTTTTAAGAAACAGTCAGTTATACGAGCAATTTAAAATGGTCTGATACTTATTGCACAACGCCAACGGGTTCTCTTTGGCGACTCTGCGTATCCTTTGAAAGAATGGCTCATTACTCCTATAGATGACAACGATGAAGCGAATATCAGATTTCTTAAAGCTTATAAATCGACTTGGCGAGTCTTTTTTGTCGCGAATCAGTTGTAAAACAATTATTTTATTATAATTTCTAGACATTTTTCAAGAAATCACAAAAGCTCGCCGCGTATACACTTCAAATTATAAATAAAAGAGTTACACTTCACATTATAATACAAGGCGGGAATACTTTGTCACTACTGCCTGTGCTACTATTTTTTTTAAATTCCATCATTTTAATATATTCGACCAGTGCCCTGTTTATCAAAATTTACAAGCCTTGTATTATCAGCAATTTTTCTGTAAAAAAATTAATTATTACAAATATGTGTTTATCAAAACTGCACGTGTAAATTACAAGTTACAAGGGTCATTATTTATTTCACAAGTATATTTTTACACTTGTATTCGTGATTTTTTTATCAAAAATCCCTTGTAAGTTACAATTTGTAGAAAATCATAGCAAATCCAAAGAGTGTCCAGCGACTCCCCATTCCGTCTTACAAGTGTTTTAAGTAGTACTGTAATATTTTTTTTATTTGATTTTCCTTTTTAAAATGTAGTCAAGTGACTCAAGCGATGATGAAATTATTAGAATAATGGAATCAAGAACATATAGAACAAGAATTGACTACGGTCATATGGAGACGACCTATGAATTTAATGGAAGGTTTCGACTTATAGAACTTTTTGTCGCGAATCAGTTGTAAAATCGTTATTTTATTATCATTTCTAGACGTTTTACATGAAATTGCAAAATATCGCCGCGAATACACTTCAAATTATATATAAAAGGCGGAAATATTTTGTCGCTACTACTACTACTTTTTTTAATGTCCCATCAAAATTAGGCACAGACGATATACCATACAGCCATGCGTTTAAATAAGGATATTCAATAAAAAGCAAAAACATAATTGCGGGAAAAATATGCGGCACACATTTTTGATTTTAGAACTTACAAGTTGAACCTACCTAAAAGTGTTAAATTTTACAAGCCCTGTAGATTTTTTTTGATAAACGTAATTTACTCGAACTTGTAAAATCTTTCTTGTAAAGTGTAACTTGTGAACAATTAGTCTTGTGAGTTTTGATAAACAGGGCACAGCTGTTCTCCGCGTCTTCGGCTGCGTGTAATTTAGGGTTTTAACTATTTTGAGCGAAACCCTAAGTATTTTTCTAAAACTATCAAGGTTAAAAAAGTACCCTAAATCAATACTTTAAACATCAGCTATCTGCCAGTGAAAGTCCCGTCAAAATCGGTCGGAATTAGCCGGAACAAACAGACATATATGATTTTTGATTTCATATGCATCTAGTAAAAAGCTGTTATTTTGTCATTACAAACGGATACTTCGATTTTGTTTTTTTGTACGGGTTATTTTTATCTTCGTATTAATCTCTTTTTTTATAGGATAGGGTGACAAACGAGCACACAGTCCACCTGATGTTAAGTGGTTGCTGTGGCCCATAGAGATCTACATCTATCCTCAATTACGAATCAAAATACAGATGCATTGTCATCCGTGAGGACTAAGATGGAATGCCTCGTTTCCAGCAAAAAGGGTCTCCGGTTCTCTACTCTCACCATACGAAACACAGCAGCATTAAGCTATTATTTCACGCTGGTATTCTGTGAGAGCGTGGTCATTCCCTGGTCGAGCCGACCCATTCGTGCCACGACTATACTACTAATATAACTACAGCATGGCTCGTCGGCTCGACCGGGGAAGGACCACGCTCTCACAGAATACCAGCGTGAAATAGTAGCTTAATGCTGCTGTGTTTCGTATGGTGAGAGTAGAGAACCGGAGACCCTTTTTGCTAGAAACGAGGCATTCCATCTTAGTCCTCACGGGTGACAATGCATCTGTATTTTGATTCGTAATTGAGGATAGATGTAGATCTCTATGGGCCACAGCAACCACTTAACATCAGGTGGACTGTGTGCTCGTTTGTCACCCTATCCTATAAAAAAAGAGATTAATACGAAGATAAAAATAATCCGTTTCGTATGGTGAGTGTAGAGAACCGGCGATCCTTTTTACTGGAAACGAAGCATTCCATCTTAGTCCTCACGGGTGGCAACGCATCTGTATTTTGATTCGTAATCGAGGATAGATGTAGATGTCTATGGGCCACAGCAACCACTTACCATCAGGTGGACTGTGTGCTCGTTTGTCACCCTATCCTATAAAAAAATATTATCATCAATATATTCAGAAACTGATACGTAACTAAAATAACAAACGAACAAGTTCGATTCAAATCTATGCAAATATAATGTAATCTTTAAAATATTTTCTGAGTACGACGGTTGCGCGAGTTCACTGCTTTTCACCATCCCAAAAATGCCCAACGTTCCTAAAGAAGCTTCCACTTCAATTTATGAAATAATTTAAGAGTAGTAATATATACTTACATAATAATATTATTATGCGATATTATATGTATTTACTACAGCCTAGGTTAATTATATTAGAATTGCAAATACAGCAACTGGCTTGACAATTAATCTTAATAATGGATCTAGGAACTTTACTTGAATCCTTGCAACTTTTGTATTAAATTTTGACCATTCACTAAACTGCGAGCAAACCGTGACCTAGTTTCGAGGTGCGGACGTTGCAAAGGTCGTTCATTCATAACCCCCGGCGCCGCTCATCACAACCTTCACTTTTCCGTTTATTTAGA